ACACATACACACACACACACACACACACACACACATACACATACACACACACACACACAGTATAGATAGATAGATAGATAGAATTTTATTTGTTGAATGTAATTTCCATTTAAAATGCGTTGTAAGAATGCCATTAAAGGCTCTACTGGAAACTCTGTGTGAAACTGTGTGAAATTGTCGGTTTGTATTTCCCATCCTCTCTGTTTTCTGTAAATGCTTTGAGTCAGAAAACCCACTGATGCTTTTGTCCCCTGATAAATAATTCAATGTGTCTGATTAAAAATTTTTGCAGCATGTGTTTTGGAGATTTCTGCCATGGTGTGACAGACACGCACACGTTTGTTTGACATGAGGAGAAAGGTGGAGTCTGTTTTTCTTTCTTTACTGCCTGAGATTTAGTGAACGGTGATATGGCAGGTGGTAGATTCCACTCCCTGGCGGCTGAGTGAATTTAACCAAGTGTTGGATTGCGTTCTCTCCATCCCTCGCCTACATGTAAACACAATCTCCCCCTGTCTAACTGCGCTTCCGCTGGCTTGTATTCCCCCCTGTCCTCCCGCTGATACCTTCCACAGTTAATAAAAAAATGGCCCCACAGACTTTCCAATTATGTTTCTTACTTAAATGAAAACATGCTGTCAAGCAGTTTTGCACAGCTGCCATACAGGAACCCACCAATCTTAACTGCAGCATGTTTATAGCAGTGAGCTAGCCATTTAGCTTGATAGCTGCCATTGTTTATTTTTTTATTTGTGAAAACATTTTTTGTTGTTGTTTTTAGCCTTTTTGAAATAGAGCTTTTATTTGTTTATATATGTATGTAATCTATATAAATGAGCCATTTCTAGATTGATTCCCCCAACAAACAAAGACAAACGTATCTCTTTACCCTACCAATGGCAAACAGGGTGAGTGCATTTAAAAACAATCTTTTTTTTTTTTTTTTTTGAGTGACTCTTGATGCAAAAATGATTTACTTTAGTTGCAAGCATGTTTTTGCTTGTTGTTTTGAGGTCAGTTAGTGTTTGGCCCCTGGTTAACTCCAATGCATGTTGTGTTCTCTGGCAATATGAGGTCACAACACCCGTGTGCTTTTCTTCATAACAGTCCTGCTATAAAAGCCCATAAAGAGCTGTGTCTCAGAGGGCTGAATGTACGGCCCCTGCTAATAAGAAGCATAAATCTCAAGGCAAGCTACAGTTGGCTTTGGCAAACTACATTTAAACGCATTTTTATCGACACTCAGACAGGACCTGCCCCTTCCATGCCTGTCATAAAACAGGCATTAGCGTGGCATTTACTCATTGTGCCGGGTGCACAGCGCATATTAGCTACTGCCCAAGCTAAGGACGGCCAGTAAAAAGGCCACTTGTTCAGTCAATTATCAGTAATGGTGTTTAATGGCAAAGTAGCTCGACCACCTAGGATGTGCCAGGGGGGCTTTTAATGGCACCATCCCCTTGGGCCTGGCGAGAATTTGCACAATTTGCCATCCTGCACCGTGTGCTGCCGCGTCCTTCTAGTCACTGCGGTTGGCTAATTAATTCCCCACCACATCAGAGCGCTGTAAGGCCACTTGTTTCGCATCGATCGGCGCGCAGCTAGCCTGGGGTCCCGCCACCCCCACGGCCCCTCTGAGTCTCGGGCATAGGCACAAGAGCTAACAAGTAAAGGTCAAGGCCATTTTAAATGCGGCACCGTCACATATGCAAGCGCCATTAGCCTCGCAGACTCTCCGGAACCTTCTGCCACCCCTCTAAGAGGGCTTGAAATGCCCTTTCCTCTCCCCTGCTGCGTTACTAGATAGGACGAACTCTAAGAAGAGCTTTCTGTTCTTTTCCATGAATCTAGTCGGCCCTTTTTACCTCATTTCTCTCAGCGAATATAAAAGCAGGACTGTTATCTGTGGGGGCCGCCCGGCCCCCTTACATACAGAAGAGACAGCTATTATCCCTCAGGCTTTTCTTTCACAGAAGGAGGAGAGAGCGGACCTACGATTAGGCACAGACTGGGTGTGGGACCACGCTCACCTTTGTGCCGTGTCTGTATATTGTGTGCCCTCAAGAGCTTCTTATCCCACAATCTGATGGCCGCTGGCAGGCTGAATCTATCCTTGAATACACATCCCCTTATTGAAAGTCTGAATGGGTCAGGGTGGTTTCAAGGCAGCAAAGCAGGACTGGAAGTGTGAAGTTGTGCATGAGGTCATCGAGTATAACGGAAGAGCTTTTGAGAATTATACATTTTGAGGAAACAAATTTAAGCCTATAAATAATCATATATTAAACTTAAAATTTAAACTTGTGTTATTATCAGTATTTTTTTTTTACTTATTTTGATTATAATCTATAATATAATGTGATAGATAGATAGACAGACAGACGCAACTTTTCAGATTACTTATATATATATATATCACTAATGGTCTCAGATTTCATGAGTCATCAATAAAAAATATAAATAGATACTTAAATAATATTATTTAAGTATCTATTTATATTTTTTATTGATGACTCTGTTTTTAGCTTGTGTGTGTTATAATTGTTGGAGCTTGTACTGCAAGACAAATTTCCGTGCACACGGACAATAAAGTGCTATCTATCTATCTATCTATCTATCTATCTATCTATCTATCTATCTATCTATCTATCTATCTATCTATCTATCTATCTATCTATCTATCTATCTATCTATCTATCTATCTATCTTTTCAGATTACTTATATATATATATATATATATATATCACTAATGGTCTCAGATTTCATGTGCCAAAGACTAAGGAAAAGATGGAGGAGGGCGAGAGAGAGACTTTAGGCTGGTTATGAGGAGAGACAGCTACATATGAGCCTGAGTATAGAGCTGTCTCCTCCCATCATGCCTTAGTGCAGCTGTAGTCAAGGGTCTCTCCTCTTTCTGGACAAAACGAAATGCTCCTTCTACAGGCTTATGAACTTGCATCCATCAGCAGGGACAACATAATTACAGATCCAGCATACATCGCTGTGATTGTGAAAGGCAGGCATGATGGTTTATATTACCACATTACAATATTACACGGTTCTTAGAATCTCACTCTTAATGCTAGTAGTTTCTCAGAAAAATCCATTTACATCAAAATTTACGTTAGATGCTATGTATTAATTAAAAATACTATGCAATAGAATACCAGTATTATCAAGAAACCAACAATTTGGTTTCCAAAGACTTTTTAAAAGAATAAACTGTGTTTCATCATAATATAATAATAATAATAATAATCAAAAATTTGATTGAATAACAAATTAAATAATTATTTAATAATATATCATAATATGTCATCATTTACTGAAAACGGAGTGGGAAAACGTTCCTCATTTATTAACTGTATTTTAGTCTTTATTTTTTACTTAAAAATTGTGGAACATTTTTATTATGAACATGTGTACATTTGTATTATGATTGCTCTGATTGAAAAAAAAAAAATACATTTCAAAGCAAATGTAAATATCAAGATATATATCAAATATTTCCAAAAGTTTTTTTTTTTACCTTTAATCAGCAGTTATATTATTAAAATGTATTTATTTTCATTGCAGATGAGGCTAAATCCTAAAGAAGATACTTGCTTTCAGATAACCCCATGCTTCTGGTGGTCATTTATGAAACGTGTTCCAGTTTTTAGAGGAACATAAATATGTAGTGAGTGATAGCAGAGGATAACAGATTTCCCTCAGCCTGTATGAGAGCACCAGTCAGTGTGATCTTTATTGGAAGTGATTGAGGGTGATGAGGAACTCTAAAGCTTGCAGCTCTATTGTTCTCTATGGGGCTGAGTGACTGATGGCTCCTTTTGTGGAGGGAAGGTGTTTTTCCAACCGCCTGTACTTTAGGGCTAATCTCAGAGACCTCTGCAAGGAATAGTGGAGTGTGCGTGGGTACGTCTGGCATGGCATGCACTTTTTTTGCATTTATTAATATGCGTGCATGTCTGTAATGTGAAAGGAGCAGAAACGAGCAGGATCAGGCGTATTGTGGGGTGTGTGTGTGTGTGTTTTGAGGGCTATGGCTGGATGCACTCTGAAGTGTGCCCTTGCAGACAGGGTTTTCCTCAAGGATGAGCAGGCCTCTGTCAGGGTCAGACAGGATGATACCCTTGGGTCCGTGGAGGGATATCATTCCTCACAGAACATGGCCATGAGCAGCTTTCAGATCTGTGTGCGTGTGTAAATGCTTTTAGGCTCCAGTGGTTATCTATTTAAGTAGTAGTGAATAACGTATTAATAATATCTGTTGTTGAATACCTCAAATGCCACAGCAACGTAGGATCATTGATACCCATTTGGACAGAAAAGCAAAAATTAACATGCACAGTCCTTTATTTCCCTGCTGAAAAAACTACTTGAACCAACCTAAAATCGTTTGATGGTCTTAACTGGTTTAAGCTAATTGCTTACAGTCTTTGCTAACCCAGCAAGTGCTAAAACCAGCTTACCAAGCCGGGAGTCCTAGAAATCCAGCTTTGACTGGTTGAAACTGCTCTTTCAGCTAATAGTATTAGTATGAAATAGTACATTTATAAAATATACATTGTTATTCTGAGAAAATTCTTCAGTGTTAATTTTGTCAGAATCTGCTGTCCATTAAACTGGACTGTAATACTTCTATCCCTTTAAAGGAACTTGTTATATTCTGTTGATACTTGTGAAAATGTATTATTCAAGTAAGCAATATTAAAATTATATTAATACTACTAAATTGAATGGGTCCAGTATTGTTACATGTCTTTTTACATTTACATTTACATTTATTCATTTAGCTGACGCTTTTATCCAAAGCGACTTACAATTGCTATATATGTCAGAGGTCGCACGCCTCTGGAGCAACTAGGGGTTAAGTGTCTTGCTCAGGGACACATTGGTGTCTCACAGTGGATTCGATTTTCACAATCACAGTGGATTTTTATGTGTGAATTTCAAAGAAAGCACTGGTACATTTGGCATTACTAATATTTTCTTCTCTGTTCTCTTACAGGTAGAAGATGCCATGCTTATGTTTGATAAAACTACAAATAGACATAGAGGTAAGTGCCCATTTGTTTTCTGTCTGTGTGTATCTGTGCTTTTGCATGCATGTGTGTGTAATGTTATTATGAATGTCCTTCAGTTAGACTGTCCCGTTAGTCGTGCAGTTCACAGTTGTGCTCTGAAGACATTGAAGCGTGAGTTTTCTGTATGAGTAGAGGAGCCCCTGTGCTGCGTGCTACATTATAGCATTATATCTTCAAGGACGTTTCATTTGAGCCCTGAAGGTCAAGGCTAATATGGTCCAATAAAAGAGCAGCGATTTCCACTGTAGCCAATCCATCGACTCTATTTGATTAGTCCGACATTTACCATTGGATGCGCAGGGTGGAGTGTTTCTCGGTCATGTTCGCTCACGCCTGCAGGCTTGTGAGAAATGTACAATACCTTCAGACTTATGATATACTGGACTTGAGATTATTGCTCACCTGACCTAAACCTTTCTGTTACTTTATTTGTGAGACTTTTTTTCTGAGAAAGAATGAGCTTAGTGGAACCGCACAGGGATTTGGGGGGATGTTTTGTCTTTGCATATAGGTGTGATTACTCCATCAAACTTGCTCACTTAAAGGAGATGAGAAATGTGGAGATAAGAGGTTAAAAGAAGAAAATGAGGAAATAGGGTGAAGTCAGAGAGGGAAAGTGAGAGGAAGAGAGAAGAGAAGATACGATGAAAAGGGAAATGAGGATAGGGAGAAGAAATGAGACAAGAAAAATTAGACGACGAAAATAGAAATGAGAAAGAAGAGGAGGTGAAGGTGTGAGAAATTATCAGGGAAGGAGAAGAGAAATTAGGAGCTTGGAGGAGATGAGGAAAATGTCGAGGGGGAATGATAATTTAGGTGAAAAGAAGAAAAATAAGGGGATGAGAAGAGAAATAAGGAAATGAGAGAAGAGAAATAGGGAGAGTGTATGAGAAACAAGGAGAAATAAGAGTAGGACACAACTAAAATTGGAAGCATAAAAGAGAAATCGGGGAGGAGAGAAGAGAAATTGGTAGAGGGAATGAGAAATAAAGAAAGGAGGAGAAAAAAGAATTGAGAGAAGAGAAATGTGTAGAGGGAATGAGAAATTAAGGGAGGAGAGGAGAATTGGGGAACGTGAAGGAGAAATAAGGGGAGGAGAGGATCAATAGGGAGTGAAGGAGAAATTGGGTATTGAGAAATAAGGAAAGAGAAGGAGAAACAAAGGGAAGTAGATAAGGAAAAGGAGAAGAGAGAAAGGAGAAATGAGGCGAGGAGAAAAGAGAAATGTGGAGAGCGAATGAGAAATTAATGGAGGAGAGAAGAGTGAAAAAGGAGAAATGAGGAGAGGGAGAAAAGAGAACAAGGAAATAAGAAAAGTATAGAGGAGAAATGAGCTGAGGAGAACAGAAATGAGAGGAGAGGTGGTCTTTGGTCAGTGTTGCGTCGGCTTTATCCAGCTCTTATCCCAGTCTTACTGTGTGGCTTTAGCAGCGGAGGACATTATAAAGGTGAGCACAGCTTTCACTGACAGCCTGAGAGAGGGAGAAGAGGAAGCGGACACAGAGAGACATGCAGAGAAATAGCTAGCAGCTTCATGCTACAGTGTTCACAGGTATAGCATCCCCCTGAAAGCCACGAGAGAGATTCTTAGCCTTGAGTGGCCTTTGTGTGGGCTGAATGAAGAGGCCGAGGAGCAGCGCTGTGTCTTTTATGCTGTATAAGTGGCTTTCAGCGCTCCCAGATGGGCAGGTTGTGGAAATCAAGTGGACGGTATTAATCTTTCAACCCGAGATATGCCTTTTAATCCATATCGGTCATATTTTAAAGGTGAGCGTGTGCGTGTCTGTTTTTGTAAGGTGTGCATCTCCTTTCGCCCCCCCCCCCCACAGGAAAAAAAAAAGACTTCTTGTCCTCCTCGGCGTTGCAACGCTCTCCACTGCAGGTCACTGTCTGTGACATCATCAGAACAGCCTTATAAGTCACAGTGATCAATCTTCCTTTTTGCACGATTAGCGGCTAAGCTTTTTTTAAACTACTTCACAACCTCAAGTCAAAAACAGTTCACAGGTGATCACAAATCGTCCGTTTCACCCAAACAGGGCATTTCTAAATGTCAAGTTGGCCTCCAATCCGAAAAAGACGTGTTTTCTTTTTTAAGTGGAGATCAGAGCATCTAACAAATACACTCTGTGAACTTTGATCCACACTTTCTTGTGCTTCTCTGTTTCGCCTGTCCCCCGATGCCCCAGTCTGGGTGCTCGTACATGCTCTTGTAAATACTCCCATAGGGCATAGTGTCCGTATCTATAGGAACGAAGGGGGCTGAGAGGGTTTTCGAGGAGCCATGGGTCTCTGGAGAGCCCAAACTGTGTTCGAGAGAACAGGCAGGTCGGAGTAAAGGTGGAGAGCGTCTGTTTAGCTCAAGCTTCGGCCCCTAGTGGGAAAGAAACACTATTATTCTCAAACCCTTGCGGATGTAGCAAAGAGCAGCGAGGTCGGAAATGAGACTAGTTGCCATTAAACACACCGCTGGTAAACACCAAATGCCAAACATTGTCGTCAACAACCAGCCATTTCCATTAAAGATCTTGCACGCTTTTCAAAGAGATTCCTCACAATAGCGCAGCAACAATAGCCGCTTGCAGATGTGTTTCGCTTTTGTTTACTTGCCGGTTGGAATATGTGTGATTGTCTTTTTGTTTATCCATGTCCCCCTTGTTAATTTTTTTCTTTCCAATGGTATTTTCTGCTAAACGAGGTGCCGTGGGGGTCACCGGTTTTAATAGCCTCACAGCAATTACTTTACGTGGCGGAAGCTTCCACCGAAATTAAGTGGTCAACTGGACGGTAATGGGAAGGCAGAGAGAGACATTTAAAATATTTTTTTGAAGATTAATGTTTTAAATGAATGTTTTTTTTTTCTCCTGAAAGAAACCTCTGTTTGTAAAGATAAAGGGCAAATGGAAATGCAGTGAATGGTCAGTGCTGTGGCCTGGTTGTTTGCACACATGCTCCAGCCACATTGAGTCATGGCTTTCAATGGCTGAAACCGATATATAAAGATCACAGTCCCTAGATCACTAGAAAAAAATATTTTTTTAATGTTTCAATTATGTAGGTCATAAGATAAAAAAAAGAAAAAGAAAAGATATATGTATCTTTTTCTAAATTTAGCATTTTTGTATTTCATATTTCAATATTTATTTTAGATTTTGCCTTTTTATTTAATAACAATTATTTATTTGATTTAGAATTGTTTGTATTTAATAACAATTTAAGTGACAAGTTTATTTATGTATTTATTTGGGCTGTTTTGAGAAGATAACCATTCGTTATTATTATTATTAATATCAATTAATTAATTAATGAGCCTCGAAGATATATATTGTTATGTCAATGTGCTCTTGTGGAACACTAGAGTTCGAGTTTCAGTGGTGTTGTGTCTCAATATCACCCCCTATTCCCCCCATCATTCCCTGTTCTCTCTCTACTTTGCCTCTCGATCAATAAATGGAAAACTGCCCCCTTTAAACACGCCTAAAAAACAATTGCAACATGGAGTGATGGCGTTGGAGGAAAGGACCAATGTGTTAAACACAAAATAAAAAGACAATCACATCACTTCCTGTTCCCTCCTCTGCAGCACAAGACAATCTCACACTCTGATGTATTACTGTCATCATCTCGACTGTATGCCTGTAACTGTGTGTGCAAGAGAGAGAGAGAGAGAGAGAGATGCTAGTGGATGTCAGAGGACAGAAGTAGAGACAGACAGTCTCTAATCCTCCGCAGTCTGTCTGTCTTAACACCCCCCTGCAAGACTATTCAACACTGTCCTTCAGCTCAGAGGTGACGAACATGCGGCAGCTAAAAGACGCTCTCTATTTATCCCCCTCTCGTGAAAAGGGCGTTAGCCGTGCCAGAATGGGAGGACAACAGCCAAGGTCTTGCATTCAAAGAGAGAGAGTGAGAATGATTGTGGTGGAGATCGAACTGAATGGCAGCAGAAATGCCAATAAAGTCTGTCCTTTTTTTTTGCGGTGTCTGGAAAGGCTTTTGGCCCCATATACACACTCACACTCCATCAGGGCATATTTTAGTCTCCTCATCTTTTATCTCTTCTCTCTCTGCCTGTCTGTCTCTCTCTCTCTCTCCTGCTTTTTTCTTCTCTCGCTGAACAAGTCTCAAGTGAATACGCTACATCTGTGCTTCACAAAATGAGAAACAAAGTCTGTGCTGCGCTAGCCTGCCGGAGCCTGATTTTACACACCTTAGCACAATTCTGCTCTGATAATCTCAGCGCTGAACATTCATCAGTCTGACTGTAGAGACACTTCCTTTGTCATCCAGGAAGCTCACCTAAATAATGGGCATGTGCATTATGGTCATTTCAACCACTTGGAGAGCTCGACAGATAAATCAGATGAACTTCTTGGGCCATTGCGATTAAATGGCAAATTTCTGTTTTTCTCCTCCTGTGTTGCGTACATTGTTCCAAGTCTGTATGCTGGTCCTGTATAATTGTTTGTGGAACACAAAATGAGCTTGCTTGAATTATTTCATTTTATCTTTTTTTTTTTTTTGTGAGTATTTCTTGATCCATACATGTTCGTTGTGACAACAGATGCCCAAAAGGCTTCATAAAGGACAAAGAAACATTATAAACATGGTCCATATTACCAATGTGCTGTGTTCAGAGGTCCTGTCCACATACCCACACTTGACCACTTGTCTTCTTGCATGACGTGTTTCCTTTATTTGGCCCAAATGTTCAGTACCGCTCTGAAGCGTCATTCGAGATAGTGTGGGTTTCGTGTGTGTCAATGGCATTAAGTTTTGGTGTTTTTAAGACCTGGGACAGTCTTGCACACTTACTTCCACACTTTCAAGTAGCCAAGACCGAAAGTGTAGGTAGTTAGAAAAGGCCTAGAGTCTTCAGAAGCCATCAAGTGTTTTTTGCGTCAATGATACCAGTGATGATATACAGTCATTGTTTTAATCACAATTGCAGTTTGAGAGCTCTGGTAGAGGGG